ATTATATTATATATATACTAGTATTATACTATATATATTATATATGATTTCAAACATCACCGGTATGATAAGGAGAGAGGGATGACGGCGGAGACGCCAAACACACACATACAAACACACAAACACGCACGCACGCATGCGCGCACACGCACCCTCGCTCTCTCTCATGCACTCACTCCACTCACACACACGGAAGTTACGAAAATTCGGGTTGTAAGGTGACAACACCATGCAGACGGTATTGCCGACTGCTACCGACTGCGTCGTTAAGGGGGTGACCTTTGCGTTGTTGACGACCGAATTGAGTCGGTGCCCAAGGTGAAAGCATGGGAATGAGAAGAGGCAGTCGCTGACAGATACGCTGCTAAAAGGGCAAGCGGCATGTAAACAACTAAGGGCTGTTACTGCTGCTGCTGCTTCTGCTGCTGCTGCTACTGCTGCTTCTGCTGCTGCTGCTGCTACTGCTGCTGCTGTTACTGCTGCTGCTGCTGCTGCTGCTGCTACTACTACTAATACTACTACTACTACTACTACTACTACTACTACTTCTACTACTACTACTAATAATAATAATACTGCTGCTGCTGCTACTGCTGCGGCTACTACTACTGCTGCTGCTGCTACTGCTGCGGCTACTACTACTACTGCTGCTGCTACTGTTGCTGCGGCTGCTACTGTTCTTGCTACTGCTGCTACTGCTGCTGCGGCCACTGCTGTTACTGCTGCTGATATTACTGCTGCCTCACTATGGCTAAGCGGCAACTGCGCCCTAGCTGTTTCGTCATTGCAGAGCAGCGGCCGTCAGCGCTGAACATAACATTCCAAAACTCCGAAAATAAACTCGCGGCTGGGTGGTGACGGGCAATTTGTTTTCTATTCGCTATTCAGACGCTGCCGCATTTCTCGCTGGTTTTTCTTGTTGATTAATTGATGGCATCGTTCCCAAGGTTTTTGTCTTGCGCCGGTGCGCATCTAGACATCGCGAAAGATGGGATCCGTTCTAGAAGGAACACACGCTAGCAGAGGCGCGCGCGAGCGCCCACCGGGGGGTGCCGCGTCGAATGGCGAGAGAATTCGGAAGTGAATTTGGGTGTGATCGATTTCTAAATACTAAATGCTAAATACGAATTTATCGGATATGAAAAATAGTATGTCATAACCGTACGGCAATCGCTAAAATATTAGCGGTCAAAAGTTTTCCGATTGGTGCAGATTGCGGATGAGAGCAACACAGTTGGCAATCGAATACTATCAAGACTTTTGGTCTTTCGCAAATATTTTACGATCAATTTTGTTAATATAGATAGATAGATAATAGGTTTATTGCAAAACTAGTATTTACAACGTTACAATTAAAATAAGTTTAGCAAACACGATATCATCAGGCAGTATAAAAATGAAATTGATGTGATTGACAATAATATATGTCCCATGGTAAGACATAGATATCACTTAAAAGATTTGTTCATAAAAGATTTTTGATTGGCGCAGATCGCCGGCAAGAGAGATATGGAGAAGGAGGCCGAGGCCGCTGAGTGGATCTCCACGATCATCGGCGAACCCGTGCAGGGATCGTTCGAGGACTGGGCGAGAAACGGAGTCGTGTTGTGCAAGTAAGTTCTACTATACATTACTACACTACAGTAATGTGTAGCAGCTACGTGTAGCAGTTGTGTGATGTGTAGCAGTAGTGTGTAGCAGCTACGTGAAGTAGTTGTGTGAGGTGTAGCAGTTGTGTGATGTGTAGCAGTAGTGTGTAGCAGCTACGTGTAGTAGTTGTGTGATGTGTAGCAGTTGTGTGACGTGTAGCATTTCTGTGTATCAGCTACGTGTATCAATTGTGTGATGCGTAGCAGTATTGTATAGCAGATACGTGTAGCAGTTGTGTGATGTGTAGCATTGATTCGCAGGCTCATGAACAAGCTGTTGCCCGGATCCGTGAAGAAGATCACAGAGAGCGGCGGCGACTTCAAGATGATGGAGAACATCACTAACTTCCAGACTGCCGCCAAGAAGTACGGCGTGCCCGAGATCGACTGCTTCCAGGTGCGCATCAACGCGAGTGTGTGTCGTCGATCGCCAGTCTATAGTAGTTGTGTGATGTGTAGCAGTTGTGTGACGTGTAGCAATTGTGTGTATCAGCTACGCGTGTATCAGTTGTGTGATGCGTAGCAGTATTGCATAGCAGATACGTGTAGCAGTTGTGTGATGTGTAGCAGTAGTGTGTAGCAGCTACGTGAAGTAGTTGTGTGATGTGTAGCAGTAGTGTGACGTGTAGCAATTGTGTGTATCAGCTACGCGTGTATCAGTTGTGTGATGCGTAGCAGTATTGTGTAACAGCTACGTGTATCAGTTGTGTGATGTGTAGCAGTTGTGTGATGTGTAGCAGTAGTGTGTAGCAGCTACGTGTAGTAGTTGTGTGATGTGTAGCAGTTGTGTGACGTGTAGCAATTGTGTGTATCAGCTACGCGTGTATCAGTTGTGTGATGCGTAGCAGTAT